TAACACTACTACGGACCAGTTCCTACAGCTAGTATTTTGTATGTCCTTAGTTAAGTTGTAACTTTGTAATTGTTCTTCAATGTAATTCCTACTTTTATTATCTAGAAGCATTACTTAGGAACCACTTGTAAACCATAAACCCTTAGTATTTGTGTCGTGACTAGAGTTAGTCATGAGTTGAAGTCTTTGTAATAGGTGTATTGCAAAGTGGCTTGTAATAGATGTATTACAAGTTAGTGAGGGATTAAGAGTTTAATTCATAGATTGCATAGGTTGTAATGTTAAGTTGCTCATAGTGAAGTTAAAATCCTACCAGTGTAGCTCGTGGTTTTTTATCCCCTTAAGCAGAGATTTTTCCATGTAAAAACTCCATGTTCTAGTTTACTTACTGTTTCATTAGCATTCTCATTGGAAACTCATAGAGGAACCGGTCTCTACATAGTTTGGTAGACTCATATATTCTATCAATTGGTATTAGAAAAGGTTATTTCTATTAGGTTAACACATTGGAAGGATCCTGATGGCTGCTCCACTAAAACTTGATAAAGGTCAATCTATGTATAGACCACCCAGGTTCAATGGGCAATACTATGGGTGGTGGAAGACAAGAATGCATGACTTTATTATGACAGAAGATTCTGAGTTGTAGGATGTTATATGTGATGGTTCTTATGTCCCAACAAAGAAGGTCGGAGACCCTCTAGTGATGACGCCAACAACCAGGAAAGAATACAATGATGCGGATAGGAAAGCTGTGGAGAAAAAACTTTCATGCCAAGAAAATTTTGGTGTGTGGCATAGGACCTGATGAATACAACAGGATCTCGACTTATCAATCTGCTAAGGAAATATGGGAAGCTTTGCAAATAGCACATAAGGGAACCACTCAAGTAAAGCAATCTACGATTGATATGCTCACCATTGAGTATGAACTCTTCAGGATGAAAGAAGATGAATCTATTCAAGACATGCACACAAGATTCACTTCCATCATAAATAAGCTACACTCGCTCGGTGAAATCATCCTTAGGAACAAGCTTGTGAGGAAAATTCTCAGCGTCTTGCCTAGTTCATGGGGGAGTAAAGTGAATGACATTACTAAAGCAAAGGATCTGCATGCCCTAACTACAGATGAGCTAGTTGGAAATCTTAAAACTTACGAAATGAAGAAGAAGAAGAAGAAGAAGAAGAAGGACAATGAAAGAAGAGAACCAAAGAAGGAAAAGAATCTGGTACTCAAAGCTAAAGGCAATGACTCAAGTGAGGAGGACTGTGACATGGCTTGCCTAACCAAAAGATTTCAGAAAATGGTCAGAAGGAATGGAGGGATACCAAAGAGAGGCAGTTCCAGCAGACCAAAGAATTATGACATTTGTCATAAATGTGGAAAGCCGGGGCATTTTATCAAAGATTGCCCTCTCCTGAAGTAAGAACACTTCAAGTACAACCCTGATAAAGCAGCCAAGAGTAACCCGGTTCCTAACAAATGCTTCAAGAGAAAGAATGTTGTTGACAACGTTGTAAAGCAAGCTCTTACAGCATGCGGAGATTCCTCTAGTGAGTCTGAAGAAGAAACTGATTCAGGTGATAGTTCTATGATGGCAGTTGAAAGTGAAGCAAATGAATATGATTCAATATTTGCTTTGATGGCTCAATCAGAAAATGATGAAGATGATGACAATGTTTAGAGAAATCTGAAATCCAACTTTCCTAAGAAACTCATGTCATTAGCAAATGTATCAATTGGTGCCTATAATAGTTTTGTAGATGATAAGAATTCCTTGACCATAGAATTAGGAGCGCTGAGCAAACTAGAGATGACTTGGTAGTATGTGTGGTTGATTTGAAAGAAACTATACATAATCTGGAAAATGAAAAGAAAGTTCTAACTGAGAAAATCACTAGTGTAGAACACGAAAGAGATGATCTGATGGTAGTAGTAGTTGACTTAAAAGAAACCATTGAGAATTTCGGTAGAGAAAAAGATGCCTTAGTGGAGAAAGTGACTATTGTTGAGCAGGAGAGAGATGACCTCTTAGTAGTGATTGTAGACTTAAAGGAAACAATAGAGGGACTCAGAGCTGAATGTAGCCCTGGAAATTCTGAAAAAGGAAAAGAAGTAGCTAGGGAGGCACACATTAAGCTTGAAAATGGGTTAAATGTTGTGAGAACTAGTTTGTGTGTTGAACTTGAGAAAAATAGACAGCTCCAAGAAGAACTGGAAAGAGTAAAAAATGATCTTGAGATGTTCCTTAAGTGGACCTGGTCCTCGGATGATATTACCACCATGTATGTTAATAATGGTGGAAATAGGCAGGGAATAGTGTTTCAAAGGGAGAGAACTCCATACAACCCTCATAGCAAGTATGTTACTGTACCTGATAATTGGATATGTGCCCACTGTGGGAACAATGGGCATCTTAAATAAAATTGCCAAGCCAGGGTCCAGTCTCTTCAGAAAAACAAAGTTTTCGCTGAAAGAGTAACTGCTAAATAGGGACCAGGTTCCACTCATAAAAAATGCATGTTACCTGCTTGGACTAAAAGAACACTTATTCATCCTCTTGCTTAGTACAAGGGATCCAAACTTGCTTGGGTTCCTAAATCTAACCCTTGATTTTCTTGTGCATGGAACAGTGAAAGGAAGTAGTCAACAATGATCATGGACAGTGGATGCTCAAAGCACATGACTGGAAACACCATGGACTTTCTTTCACTAAAAGCCCTGCAATGAGGGGGTTATCCTTTGGAAATGGGAAAAAGGTACATTCTTGGTGTTGGAAAAATTAGAAAGTCACTCACTCACTCAATTGAGAATGTGTACTATGTCCATGGCCTTAAGTATAGTCTCTTAAGTGTCTCTCAGATATGTGATAAAGGAACAAGGTGGAATTCTTGTCCAAGATATGCACAGTTACAAATCTAGTAACTGGTGAAGTGGTACTTGTGGCCAAAAGATACAAGAATATCTACGTTGCTGATTTTGAGTCCTTACAAAATGGTGATCTGAGTTGCTTGAAAGCAGTTGATGATGATACTGAATTGTGGCACAGAAGACTGGGGCATGCATGCTTTTCTCTATTGAATAAGCTGGTTCAGAAGGACCTGGTTCGTGGTCTGCCCATGTCAAAGTTCAAAGAACACAAAGTCTATGATGCATGCGCTAGAGGGAAGCATGTGAAATCCACATTCAATCCAAAGAAGGATGTCAGCACCTCAAAACCACTTGATCTCCTTCATATGGATCTATGTGGCCCTATGAGGGTGCAAAACAGGGGAGGAAAAAGATATATCTTTGTGATAGTGGATGACTACTCCAGGTTCACTTGGACTCTATTCCTTAGAACAACAAATGAAACATTTGAAGTTTTCGTAGCCTTTGTGAAGAAAATCCAAGTGAAGATGGAATCAAGAGTAGCATGCATTAGATTAGATCATAGAATAGAGTTTGAAAATGCTAAGATTGATGAATTCTATAACGAGAATGGCATCACTCACAACTTCTCAGCTCCAAGAACTCCACAGCAAAATAGAGTTGTAGAAAGAATGAACAGGAACCTTGAAGAAATGGAAAGAATAATGTTGATCGATAGTGGAATTGCTAAGAATTTCTGGGCTGAAGCTATAAACATTGCCTGCTACTTGGTGAACAGGTGCATGGTCAAGTCTCTCTTGAATAAAACTCCTTATGAGCTACTGAATGGAAGGAAGCCCAAGCTAACTCACTTAAGAACATTTGGGTGTAAATGTTATGTTCTCAACAATGGAAAGGATCAGCTTGGAAATTTTGATTCCAAGAGTAATGAGGGAATCTTTTTGGGGTACTCTTCTCAGAGTAAAGCCTACAAGATATACAACAAGCGGACTCAATATGTTGAGGAAAGTGACACGTAATCTTTGATGAGTCCTATCTCTCCTGTGAGAAAAGCAACAAGGATGATCAAGATGGAGAGCCTCTGCTGGTTCCAGGTGAAGTCATTGATATGACAAATAGAAAGGCAGACATGATGAGTCAAGTGAAGGAGCCAAGTGAAGAGAATGCAGTCTCTTCCTCATCATCCGGAGAGAACCAGGTACCACAATTACAATCACTGAAGCTGAAGAAAGAGTGGTTGATATAGTTCAAAGTACTCCACAGGTAGCTGAGAGAAGAATGCAAGGGAACCAGTCAGATCTACGCAACTCCCATACAAATGAGGTTCAAGTTCCCAACTGGAAACACAAAATCTCCCATCCTCTTGACACCATATTACCCCTCTGGATTCAGGAGTACAAACCAGATCAAAAGCCAGAAATTCACTTGCCTTCTCAGCCTTTCTTTCCCAAATAGAACCCATAAACATCAAGGAAGCCTTAGAAGATGCAGACTAGATTACAGCCATGCAACATGAGTTGCACTAGTTCGAAAGGAACAATGTATGTCACCTAGTACCTAGACCCTTAGATCGAACTATCATAGGAACCGGGTGGGTATTCAGGAATAAGCTTCATGAACATGAAAACACTACAAGGAACAAGGCTAGGCTAATGGTTCAAGGTTACAATCAGGAGGAAGGAATTGATTATGATAAGACTTTTGCTCTGGTTTCTCGCATGGAAGCTATCAGAATCCTAATTACCTTTGTATCACATATTGAATTCACTCTGTTCCAAATGGATGTCAAAAGTGCATTTCTGAATGTATTCCTTAAGGAAGAAGTCTATGTAAAGCAACCTCCAGGATTTGAATGTCATGAACACCCTGAATATATGTTTAAATTGGACAAGGCACTATATGGGTTGAAGCATGCTCCTCGAGCTTGGTATGAAAGACTATCAAAGTTTCTCTTAGAAAATGGTTTTACAAGAAGAAAAATTGACACCACCTTGTTCTTGAAGAAACAAGGGAGAACCTGCTCATCGTTCAGATATATGTTGATGATATCATTTTTGGGGCAATAGCTGATTCACTGTGTGAAGAATTTGCAAAACTCATGGGAAGTGAGTTTGAAATGAGCATGATGGGTGAGTTGAATTTCTTCTTGGCTCTTCAAGTGAAGCAGTCCACAAAGGGTACATTCATCAGCCAGCAGAAATACATCAAGGAGCTCCTGAAGAGGTTTGATATGGAAGTATCAAAAGTGATTGACACTCCCATTGCCACTGCTACTCGATTAGACATTGATGAATCTAGCTCTTCTGTAAATCAAACCATGTATAGAGGCATTATTGGGTCTCTTCTCTACCTTACTATCAGCATACCTGATATTATCTTTAGTGTGGGGCTATGTGCAAGGTTTCAGTCAAATCCCAAGGAATCTCATCCGAAGGCTGCCAAGAGATTTTTGAGATATCTTAAGGGAACACAGGACCTGGTCCTGTACTACCCTCCATGTGATAATTTTAATCTTACTGGGTATATTGATGCTGACTATGCAGGTTATCTTGTGACAGGAAAAGTACTTCTGGAATGGCTCACTTTCTAGGATCATGTCTCATCTCATGGGGCACAAGGAAGTAGAACTCAGTTGCTCTTTCAACAGCTGAAGCAGAATATATTGCTGCAGCTTCTTGCTGTGCTCAGCTCCTATGGATCAAAAAGCAATTGAAAGATTTTGGTGTGTTCACTGACTGTGTGCCTCTTCTATGTGACAACACCAGTGCACTCAACATGGCCAAGAACCTGGTTCAACATAAAAGAACCAAGCGCATTGATGTGAGACATCATTTTCTCATAGACAACGGGGAGAAAGGGCTTATCTTAAGTTAGTAGTCTTGTGCTTTTTCATACATATCTTAAAAGGAAGCAAAAAATCGAGTGCCATATCATCAACCTTTTCACGTGTTTTTAATCAAATCCCTTCACTTCCCTCTGAAATGTTGCAACTCCCCACAAAACTACCGCCATTTCAGAACTGGTTTCTCTCTCCCTCAAAATTGTCTCTTCTCTCATTAAACCCTCTCACTATTTTGAACAATCATATCTTCTCTTCAGTCCTTCCCAGAACTTTCAAACTTCTTCTCTACCATGGCTGAAGATCAACCGATAATCCCCTACTTAGTTGAGAAAACCCCAAAGAAAACCCTTGATTCTTCCGTTTCTAGTGAAACACCTCTCACCATCCCCTTTTCAACCACCACTGCAGAGGGTACTCCTAAACCTGACTCTCTTTCACCCTTTATTTCTCTTGTCACTCCCTCAGACCTCTCTCTCTTTCTAAGTGTTGAGAACTCAGAAACCCCCAAACTCGTTAGCTTTTCATCTCTATCGCCTGAGATTCTCATCACACAAAGCAGGGATAGAGAACAGAGTAAAGTTTCGCAGGTAGTCAAGGTCTCAGAGGTTAGTATTGATCAGTCTACAATTTTTCCCGTTTCGGAGTTTGTGGAACCTATGGAATCTCAAGAGAAAGAGGCTGTAGAAAACATATTGGCCATATTTGCTGATAGAATAGTGTATGGGCTGATCTCTACTATGCCGGTGTCTTAGGGGGAAAAGACTCAGTCATTAGTGGGAGAAGGATCTATGGTGCTCTTTGAAAACCCTACACTAGACGAAACTACTGGGACCCTTCTTGAAGGACCTGACCCCTCTCCTGAGGAAACAGGTCAAGGATCCTCTTCCCAGATCAGTTTCTACCCTGCTCCTTCTCCTCAATTTGATATTGAGACCTTGGAAATTTTGGCTCTTGCTATGAGGTATAGTGATGAAAAAGATCAAGATAATGTTGGTCTAGATGCGTTCATTGCCAAGAGGAGGGCAGTAACTACTCCTGAGCCTTCTCCTAAGCGACCTACTACTAGGTTGCAAGCAAAGGAGGCTTTTGAGTCTACCTTGCAGAAGAGTAAAAGGAGTAACAAGAAGAAGAAAAAGAGGCTGGTGAAAAATAGAGAGGTTGTGTGTGACAAAAACATTCCTGTAGTGGAAGTGGATGAGGAAGTAGCAGAGGAACCAAGTTCCTTGGTTAAAAGGTCTCAGAAAAAGAAGCGAGAGGAAGGTGTTGCTACACCAAGTTCAAAATTAATGAAAAGTGGTGACAAGTTAAAATAAGTAGTGAGTGAAAAGTCGTTGTCTGATGAGGATATCTTGGTAAAATCAAGTGGAAAGGTCAAATAAAGTGTGAATCCTGGGAAAAGAAAGTTGGAAACTGTGAAGGAACCTGATTCTGCAAAAAGAGTGAAACAAGAAAGTGTGTCTGCTAAGGAAAGGCTGAGGTACCAAAAGGTTCTGTGAGGTCATACTTTTGACCAAGAAATCTCTGAAATGGCTGGCATGAGGCAAATAATAGACATGGTCGAGTTTTAACAGTAGGGACATTTGTTCAAGGTGGATGTGCCCAAAGTCTATGAGGATGAGGTCCAAAGTTTCTATGCAGACCTCTTTCCTGTTGAAACTGATCATATATGTGCTCTGGTCAATGGAGTTGATATTGTTTTGGATGCTACTCTGCTTGGGGACATATTTAAGGTCCCTGCTGATGGTATGTCCTCTGTCAAGAATGTGTGTGGGTCAAATTTTAGGAATGCTATTGTGAAGGAAAGCACAGTCCAGCGGGGGAACGCGTCCACAAGAAAGCTCTGCTTCCCGCTTATCAGCTTTTGTTTGAGTTGGTAAACAAGGTTCTTCTACCTCGTGCTGAGAGAAGGTCTATCACTTCGAAGTCTGATTTGTATTTGATGGAAGCACTGGATGGGTTCCAAGCTGTAAACTTGCCAGCCATCATGATTGAGCACATGCAAAATGTGGCAACTTTCAAAGATGGAAACCATGGTCTTCCTTATGGATTCCTTCTCACACATGTCTTTAAGTTCTTTGATGTGCCTCTAGGATAGTCCAAGATAGGGACCAAGAAGAAGACCCTTCTCTCAAACTACTTTGGAAGAATGTGAATGTATTGAAAGAGGTGGAGGAGTAGGAAGTACTTCAACAATCTCTCAGCTTATCAATGCCTAGAATAGTGCTACTGAGGAGGTTAGGAAGTTGAAGGCAAGGAATGCCATTCTGGAGATTTAGCAGGACCAAGGGGCACCAGGGTCAAATGAGGAGATCGCTCGTCTAACAAAAGAAAATACTGATCTCAGGCAAAAAGTGGAGAACCTGAAGGAGAAACTGCTCGCAGAGCAAATGTCGGCCAATGCCCGAAATGATCTCGTTCTCAACACTCTTGCTACAACTTCTAAGCCCTCTCCTTCTAGTGCCCACTAGGCTAACCCTTTCAGTGACCAGTTTTTGGATTATCTCTTCTGCTTTTGATGACTATGGAAGTTGTTTTTGTTTTTCTTTTGTGGTGTGGATGTAATTTCCTTGTACTGGTCCTGATGATAAAAATCCAAATCTTGCCTTTGCTGTAATGGCAACGGCTTATGTTTTATAAAAACTATCCTCTTTTGATGTTTATTGCTTATGTTTCTCTGCTTCTCTTTTTATCATGTTGTGTGCACATATATGGCATGAGTTAGCTAGACTAGACTTCTTTATGTTGATTGCTTTCTTATGTATTTATAGTGATGCCAAAAGGGGGAAGTATAATTGAAACACGAATCTAATTAAGGGGGAAGCATAAAGTCAGGGGGAACTTGTGAAGTTCCTGTTACTTCATCTGGTTAATTTTGCTCTAAACATGTGTTATCAATTTCTAAGTTTGTTATCATAAAAAAAGGGAAAATTGATGAGTTTACAGTACCTTAGCTTTATGTTTTTATGATCTAACAAACTTACTATCAAAGAACCAGATGAGGAACCTGACACACTTGGTACACAACTCAAATCAACGGGCTCCAGCTAATGTGAGTTGCTATGACTTCAGAAGATAAAGAATAAATGCAGGGACCTGGTACCCTTGTGTTTCCCTGACAGCAGTACGAAGTCAACTGTCTACGGCTGGAAAGTGACTGCCTGCACTGTATACAGAAACAATGCAGCACAGTTCAGCAGTCACTTCTCATTTAACCTACCAAGTGATTACATCATTCAAGTGATGTCATCCATGCATGTTGTATTAACATTAAACATTACAACAAAATATCACTTGAACACTTGAGAATTCATTCAAGCAATTCAAGAATTCAAGCATCTGACAATCAAGCATTCAATTCTCAAGTGCATCAAGAACAAAGTTTAACACTACTACCGACCAGTTCCTACAACTAGTATTTTGCATGTCCTTAGTTGAGTTGTAACTTTGTAATTGTTCTTTATTGTAATTCCTACTTTGCTTATCTAGAAGCGTTACTTAGGAACCCTTTGTAAACCATATACCCTTAGTGTTTGTGTCGTGACTAGAGTTAGTCATGAGTTGAAGTCGTTGTAATAGATGTATTGCAAAGTGGCTTGTAATAGGTGTATTACAAGTTAGTGAGGGATTAAGAGTTTAATTCCTAGATTGCATAGGTTGTAATCTAAAGTTGCTCATAGTGAAGTTGAAATCCTACCAGTGTAGCTCGTGGTTTTTTATCCCCTTGAGCAGGGATTTTTTCACGTAAAAACACTCTGTTCTATTTTACTTACTGTTTCATTAGCATTCTCAGTGAAAACTCATAGAGGACTTGGTCTCTATATAATTTGGTGGACTCATATATTCTATCACTATCGGATGTCAAAAGATTACCGAAGCTTTGTTAGTTAAATGAAACAGAATATTTTTTTCATAACATTTAAGCAAAGAATTTCTTTCATTAATTAAAATGCCAAACTCAGTAAAGAAGTTTTGGCATAGTTACAAAAGAAAAGAAAAATATATATTAATTCTTGATGCCAGAACTGGAAGGGAGAGAAGAGTCTTCATTATTGGGAGAAGGTTGTTCCGCTTCCGGTTCAGGACCTTCATCTTTATTTCCATTTTCTTGAGCTTCCACTTCGTTTTCCTCTCCGGTGCCCGAATACTCGAAGTTGGTATTCGAAGAGTCAGAAGCAACAGGCCGAGCCGGGAGGTTCTCGAAAGCAGTTGTCTCCAACTCACGGGCTTTGGCAATGTATTCATCTATCTGTATGCGGTAAATTGGTTAGTAACAGTTAGACGGATGAGAAGGTGACACGTGGAATTAAAGACGTGTGGGATGTGAGTCAGTAAAAAGCTAGCACCGGATGCAAGCATATGACCGGTGCTGGATGAATCCCGAAGACAAAGTAGCCTATAACAAATATTTTATAGAGAATATTTGCATTTATGGCCAACCGTTATGCTATTATCAATGATGATTTTATTCTCATTAAAGAGGAGCTTGATTTGGGGATCTTGTCTCCTTAGATATGGCTATAAATAGGAAAATTATTATTCATTATAGGACACAAAATATTCTGTATACAAAAGCTATATTTAGCTCTCAAACTAGAAAATAACTTGCTTTCTTTTGTTCTTAAGATTGTTCATACTACAGCTTTCGGAGAAGCTCATCATACTAGCAGGCTTGTATTTCTTTAAGTTACTTTAGATTCTTGATTTCATTCTTGTTATTTCATATTGTTGGATCAAATTAATTCGCGTGTCTATAAACCACATTACAAATTCAATTGTATCATTTTACGGGTAAACAATAATAGCACCTCTCTTCAAATTATGTACAATGCTCTTATAATCAGAATGAAAAAATAATGCACCACATATTAGAGCCTATTGTTTCAAAGAAATGGCCATGCATGACAAGCGATAGTATATTGCGTAATGCTTCACGAATAGTATATACACAGTAACACACTGAGTTTGAGCGTTTCTAACCAACAAAAAGGAATCCATAAATAAGCATCCCTTTGATTCAAACAAATCCCCGGAACAAATTTGGCTTTATAAAATGGGTTTTGCTTAGTAACTTCCAATCATATGAAAGAAAGAAAAATGTACACGGGAAAAGGGAGAACTCTATTACAGAAGAGAAATTATTCAAACTGTGACAATTTTGCAGTGGCAGAGAAGGGACGCAGTATGCATGAAATCATTTGAAAGGATCTTCCACCAAATGCTCAAGGTTACTCCAAAGCTGCCTTTGATTTTCTTTGATCTTATTTTGGAATTCCTGTGGTGACAACTTCAACCTCTTGAGAGCTGGCATATGTTGCAACTGAGAAGGAAGCATTTCTAATCTTGTGCATGATCTGATTTCCAAGCTTTCGAGATTAGGCATTGCTCCTTTTACAATTTTCATGGTTTCAAGTTCTTCTAATAGCCAGAGTTCAAGAAACCGAAGCTCAGGAAAACCACCTGAAGAGCAATTCATGCTCTTACATGTCGAAGATTTAGAATAAAACCTTAGAATGATCAGTTTCCGAAGGTTCTCTAATGCAGGCATCGGGTCATCCTGTAATTCTGAAGCTGACAATGTTAGGTCGATGAGATTTGTGGGAAATCCAGAAATAACAGATGGATACTTGAGCTTTCCGAGTAAATAGATGGTCGAAAGACTTGTGAGGCTTGACAATGGTTTCAGATAAAGAGTGGAAGGATTGCCGCGCTCATCAAAGGATTTCAATCTTAAAGATTCAAGTTGTTTCAGTTCCAAAATCCAGTCACCAACAGCCTCCAGTTGTGAATTCATGAGTTGTTGAGATGTCATGGCCCTACAAGACAAACCCAATTTTTTAACTTCTTTCAGGGTGTTAAGCCCCTCTAGCACTGGACTATCTTCATCTATGAAAGCACCCCACAATGTCTGCAACTCACTAAGAGCAATTCGCTTTGGCACACTAGGGAATTTGCTTCTATAGGTTTCACTCATGTATAAATGTCGAAGATAATGCATTTTCCATATTGATTCTGGCAGAGCGCTTATGTAGGTGTGTTTCAAATCCAGCAGTTGGAGGTTTAACATTTTGCTTATGCTGCTCGGGAGTTCTTCTAGGTAAGTCCACCTTAGCCCTAGATATCTTAAGCAACTGAGTGCCGATAGTTCCCTTGGCAACTGGGGTCTGAATACTTTCTCCAGGTCAAGTACCCTCAGGGACCGAAAGCACCGATTTGAAATGCATTTACTGAGGAAGCATCCGATATTCTCTCCTGGTTTACTTCCTTCTTGTGTATCAAATGACAAGAAAGATAGGACATTTCCATATAGACGCCGGAATGAATTTGAAGAAATGGGATGATCATTTCCATGAATTTGACGATGAGTTACGTCATCTTCATGGAGATGATCAACGAGTCGACAAATCCTACCTGCAGAATCTTTGAAAAAATTTGCCTCCACAACCTTTTCTAGCCACTTTCGTGTGCCATCGCGGAGCTGACACACTTTTACTTTTCCATTGAGCTTTGTCTTTGTGGCTTGCACCACATTTTGGTCAATCAGTTCATTCAGATAGGTTTCAGCAATGTCCTCAGCTGATTTCTCTTCACCCCTCTTTTGCTTCGCTATGCCTTCTGCCACCCACAGCGCGATTAGTCTCCTGGCAGGGATTTTAAAATCTTTTGGAAATAGTAGGAAGTAATATAGGCATTGCCTCAGGTACCCAGGGACCTTTCCATAAATCACATCTGCAGATTCTAAATGAGGTGTTTTACGGTTTAGCCGTTCTACTACCTTCTCCCACTCTGACAAAACTCTTTTCTCTGCTGGAGTCTCTCTTACTCTGATAGGTGCTTGTATTTGGAAGTTGCTAATTTCATCTATCTCCTCGTTCCTTGCATCGGTCATATCATTCAGCTCTGAGTTCTGACAGAGGCTAAGAAGCTCCGAGGTGTTCTCAACTGCTTCATGTGCAGTGAAAAGTACAACACGACTGCCACTGGAAGCGTTTGGAAAAGCTTGTCGAAGGTCACTCCAGATTCCACGAATGATCTGAATATCATGGAAGACAACGAGGTATCTTATGGGGTATAAAAGTTCTTTAAGTGCTTGAGCTATTCCCTCATGACTTGACCATTTGTCTTTGCGTAAAGCATCTTGCAGTTTGGGCACAGACCATGATATTCCTTCTTGATCTTCAACTATACTGCCCTGATCATCATTATGTTCCGCTGGCTGTAATTGCTCGAGAACTTGATTTGCCATTTCTTTCAGGATAGCAATGACATTTAATTCCTGAGGCATCCTTATATACACGCGAACATCAAAATGACAGATGATGGTGTAATCGTCATTGAGTAGTTGTTGAAGTTTTGCCTTATCATTATCCTTTACATCTAAAATTGGAAAGATGCAGAGGTCTTGGCAGTTGATAAGCAGCCTTGCCTTTATTTTCTCAACAAAGTAAGGAGGAGTTCCAGCAATATGTTCAATTCCATAGTCGAGCCTTCTATTATGGAGCCTCTGAATCTTTTTCTTCAGTCGATTAACATGCGCTATCCACTTTGGATATGGCACGTTAAATGCATCGATAAATGAAATGACCAGCTTATTTCCTTTGCAGTACAAATCAATCAAATTCTTGATTTCTAAAGCAATGCCGCTAATTTCTTCCACCCAAACTTGCACTTTAGCATCAACTCTATCCATCATCTGAATGGCTCAAAGTGATAAACTTCACAAAATTAGTTAAGTAAGTGAAGATAATTTGAACCATAGTGCAGAATTTCTTGAAACTACGTACAGGCAAATTTCAAAATTTAAAAGATTTTCTGTGACTTGGTAGAAATGTGAAAAGCTTGAAAGTATGATATCACCTTAACATCTTCCATCAAAGCTTGCATCAGATTCATCTCTCTTTTGATTGATTGAATTTTGGTTGAGAGAAAACCAGAAGGGTATGGTTCTCGCTCTTCAATACTCTGGATGACAGCACCTGAGCCTTTTCTTCCTTTGATGGTTATGTCATATGTCATCTTCCATTCATGGACCTGGTCAATCCGATTCATGATCCACGAAAGCTTCTTTGCAAAACCGTACCTATTCATGTCGAAAGAAAAGAAACGATCAAAACTTTCTTCACAAGTAATATAAACACAACATAAAGACTTGAAACTTCTGAACTCTAACAGAGTATTCAGGCTTCGGTATCTCCCCAATCTAGATAATTAATGACAGAAAAATGTATTAATCAATCGATAACAAAGCAGAAAGTGTTGAACGGATTGGGACAAAGGGAGTTAAAATTACTAGTCGGGGTTAGGCTCGACACTTACTGAGTACAGTAAGTCGGTTGTACTCATACTACACTTTTGCACTTTTTGTGCAGATGCTGATATTGGTCCCAACAATATTCAGAGAGGCCAGTAGCTTGGACAAATGAGGAGACTCCAGGTAGTGTTGCATCTCCGTTCACAAACTCTAGAGTCACCTTATTCTGTTACTGTTTCATTGTATCAAACAATATTGTATTTCTTTTCAGATGTTGCATTTAGTACTCTTAAAAGCTCATGTATTCAGTAACAACTCAGGTACTCAGTAACACCAGGTCCTGAACAACCTCCCAGGACTTGTTAGCCGGTAGCGTTGTTTTTGACTTATTATGTTATTTATGAGCTTCGACCTTATTTAATTATGATATTATGATGTTTAATATTAGTTCAGTATCTTTTGTCATTGTTGAAATATTGGCTTGCCAGCGGTGCTAGGCGTCACCATGACCGCTTTGTGGGATTTTGGATCGTAAAAGTTTCACTTGTCCCATGATCCTTCTCAGGGAGAAATTCAAAAATAGCCAGATTTACAAGTGGACATTCAAAAATAGCCACAGTTTCAAAAGTAATCGAAATTTAGTCATTTTTCATGTAAAGATAAATATGAACGGAAACACTGTTCAAAATCCGGAAAAATACCCCAGCATAATATACTGGAGTTTGGAGCACCGGTGCTCCAGTCTCCAGTATATTATATTAGAGCCAGCAAAGTATACCGGTCCAGCATAATATGCTAGAAGTTCATACACAGGTGCACCGAACTCCAGTATATTATGCTGGACCGGTATACTTTGCTGGCTCTAATATAATATACTGGAGACTGGAGCACCGGTGCTCCAAACTCCAGTATATTATGCTGGACCAGTCTCTGTTGCAGCAAAATAGTGGCTATTTTTCAATGACTTGGCAAACGTTGGCTATTTTTGAATGACCAGTCCGAAAACTGGCTAGACCGTCCTATTTTAACTCATTCTCCTCCTTGAACATAAAAAGACCTCCCTGATTCAGGGTCCTCAAAGCTCATTTCGTCCCACTTATAGAAAAGAAATGTAGTAAAGATTTTGTGGGTTTGCTGACAATATTCTTAGAATGTAGTGAATTAATAGAAGCAGTGTTGAAGAGAAGAAAGAAAAGCCGAAGCAATATCATGTTTAATGTATTTGGACTTGGGAGGTTGCTTTAGATAGAAAATGTAAATGTTTGCCAGCAGTGGCGGATCAGGATTCTGATCAAGAGGGTTCAATATTATAAAAAGGTGAACAGTAAAAAGTTTCATCGAATAGATTCATCAAAATTTGTTGAATCTAAATGCAGTGTCAAACAAGTTCATCGAAAAAATTTAAATCTATATGTTGGATTAAAACTAATACGTTTGTTTATTTTGAAGTAATCGTTTTTATCCCAGAANATATATATATAATAAACAAAAAATGAGCAAAAGATAATTGCAAAAACAATTATTTTAATAATTAAATAAGACAAAAAAGTTCATTGTTCATAGAAAGAAAGAATAATTGTAGTGTGTGGGTATTATGGTTTGAACCTCTGCCTTTAAAGAAAGATTGTTTAAGGGTATGTAACATTTAATATATACCAATAAAACTTAAATTTAACCTTATATACCCATTATAATTTTCTGCGAAGGGGATTCGGATGAACATCCTTCTGCCAGTGGCGGAGCCACATGCATCCAAGGGGTGTTAACCGACACTCATTCGCTAAAAAATTACACTGTATAAATACGTAAAAAAAAACTTTTTAATGTATATATATATAATTTGTTGAACCTCTTTAATTTCATGTATATTTACTTTTTTATATTTTGATATCCCTTAATAAAAATTCTAGTTCCGCTATTACGTCTGCCCCTAAATTCGCTCCGTAAAAATTACACGGGGCGCCCTATTTGGTCGCCCCTATTTAACCTATACCCATTTTTTTTAAAAGTTTTAACTTGTACCCACTTTTTAAACAACTTCAGTCCCCTTTCTCATCCTCCTTCTCCTCATTCGTTTTCTTTTCTTCTTCTTTCTTCTGTTATTGTTGGTGCTACTATGAAACTTCAGTTCATGGGATGATTGCCATAAATATGTTTATCAGATTATTTAAAAATAAATTATAAATAATTATGTAAGTTAGTAGACAATAATTTGTGAATATTTCCACGTACGTAAGTTAGTAGACAATGATAATTATGTTCTTTCACGTTTATTATTTTCAAAATTTATGATTTAAATACTGTTGGCAATCTGATTATTTATCTGGTATGTTAGAAAGCTTTTTCAAAAACTTCAGCTTATATAGTGCTGAAATTTTTACAAATGAACTAAATAACTTCAACATCTTCTGCTGAAGTTTTTGAAAAAGCTTTATGACAAAACTAACGAATCCAGGACCAAAAAACTCCAGTGCTAAAGTTTTTACAAATGAACTAAATAACTTCAGCATCTTCTGCTGAAATTTTTGAAAAAGCTTATCTAGGACAAAAAAATTCAACTTATTTAGTGCTGAAGTTTTTATAAATGAACTAAATAATTTCAGCATCTTCTGCTGAAGTATTTGAAAAAGCTTAATGACAAAACTAATAAATCCAGGACAAAAAAACTTCAGCTTATTTAGTGCAATTACAAACAAAAACTTCAGCAAATAGAGAACAAAACTTCAGCTACTATGCTTAAGTTCAGCAATTACAAACAAAAACTTCGGCACACTTGGTTCAGCACACTTGCTACTTCAGGCCCGTCTACTAGAATGCTGAAGTTTTGCGTGATTGTCTTTGCTACTTCAGCCCCGTATGCTGAAGTTACGCGAATAAATGGATATACTTACAACTTTATTTGCAAAACGGGCACAAGTTAAAACATGACTCAAAAAGCGGGTATAGATACAAATCCCCCATTCGCCCCTGTTTGCAAGAATATGCAGGCAAAGTGGGCCCAGTGCAAGTGAAACTAGGAATAAAAAACGACGAATGAAGGAAGCTAAGATGCCTTATTGCCTTTAGCTTTACACCTCTGCTATTTCTTGTTTTAAGTTTGTCGTTTGTTCTATCATTTCCTGCAGCCTTTATCATTTTATTCATTACTTATTTTTTTCAAAAAGAAGGATTAACCTAAGGATTTGTGATAGAGCTTCAAATGACTCAAATGAATTAAGAGAGGTAATTACTCAAATGATCACTCAACTATCCCAAATTATTTGATAAAGTCATTTTTTTTATTTGTAACAACAAAGTCACTTAACTATGTCTATAGTACTCAGAAGATCACTTAACTAGATTTTTCAAATTTTGGATTGCCAAATACTTATTTTACCCTCTAAATTATAAATATTTATCTTCTTTTTATTTTTTTAACTTTTTAATATTATGATTTTCTCTATTTTTATTGACTTACCTATAGAATAAATAAACTTTATTTATAAATAAAAAAAAAGTATTTAAGCATATATAATGTTGGAATAACAAAATAATGAGCATAGTAAAAAAACTAATTAGAATAATTTGTTCGTAATAATAATTTTAGTATTACCAACAAAAATTCAAAAATTTATTTACACAATTGAGAATAAAAGAAAATAAAGGTTGTAAAATATATATTCCATGCACGTAATATAAAAATAATTATTTAAATAAATATATTTTTATAATATACATTATATATTCTTGAAAATTATGCTCAATTATATTATTATTCCATCATTACATGAGCTGAAAAATAATTTTTTTTTTATAAATAAAATATTTATTCTATAAGTAAGTCCACAATGTATATTAAAAAGAGAAAAAAATATAATATTTTAAAAGTTAAATTTTTTTGATAATTTAGAGGGTAAAATAGATATTTATCAATCAAATATTTGAAAAAACTAGTTGAGTGACCTTGTGAGTGCTATAGACATAGTTAAGTGACTTTGTTGTTACAAAAGAAAGAAAATTAACTTTAGCAGATAATTTGGGATAATTGAGTAACCATTTGAGTAATTGACTCTGAATTTAGAGAAAAACTTTCTGACTTAGGTCAAAATAAGCTAATTTGGACTGCCACGTGGCCAATAGACAACAATTTCAGGCAATTTAATTAATTGCTCACATGCTTGAACGGAAGTGCTTTCACCTTCAAAGACACATCAGCGGATAGGGTGCTGCCAATTTAATATAAGCAATATTTGAAATATTATTTGCAAATCAATGTTTGTTTTACAATTGGATTTTAAGTTATATCACAAATATTTGTAAAAAAAATACAACACTATCAACAACTTTGATCTTAATTTGTAATAGCAGCATATTAGTTACCAAGTTTACCAAATTATCAATTAATTTGTATAAAGAGAGTTAATTATAATTAGTTAACAACTGATTTGGTTATGTAAGTATTTCATTTACTTATAGGTTACCGATAGCACCTTTTCATTTTTGACCAAGTCTACCCACCAGAACATAAAATGATCAAAAAGCACACCTATAATCAGGATAAAGAAAAAAAGATAATGAATGACAAATTTTGGATACGGGTTTTTACTTTGGCCCACAGGAAATGGAAAATTCAACGGTATCGTTGGCCCCCATGCTTTTGTTTTTAGGGAACAAGAGCTAGCAATTGGGAAATTCAACGATATATTGGCTGGACCAAGTGGGGTGGCTTTTATATTTGGGAACAAGGATAATTTATTTATGATACAATGGGGAAATTCAACATAGCTCGACCAAATGACAGTGTCTTTTGTTTTTTTGGAGAACAAGGCAATTTATAATGCAATTAAGAAATTCAACGATATCATTGGCTTGACAAATTGAGAGTGGTTTTATTTTTGGTGAACGAGGGCAATTTGTAATACAAATGCGAAAGCCAACATAATGATATCATAAATGTGGGAATCTTTTTGGCAGGTCACGGTTGACCCCTTCTTGCTCATTCGCAATTACTATCACAAGTTGTTTCCCGTATTCCTTATGATCTTAAAGTTTCCCCGGAGAGTTCTGAGGCAATGATTAGGCTTTCTTCTTTCTCGTCTTTCTTTTTTTTTTTTTTTTTTTTTNTTTTTTTTTTTTTTTTTTTTTTTTTTGTATTGGAATGCTCGCATAAGCTTATGCATCTATTGATTTCTTCTTCTCTTTTGTCCTATTTATGAATTAGTAATACATTAGATTGTTGTTTGTTCCTTTTAGATTTTGTGGTAATAGTATTTTTGGATATCCTTTTCACATTCTTATTACACCTTATAAGAATGAATGGCAAGGTGTCTAATTACATTATCATATTTCTCTTGTTTCTGTTTGAAATTCTTTTTTTTCACAAAAGTTGTGCTTTTTTATTTCAATATTTCACTTAGTAACACTTGCAAGCTATACGTAGATCTTTTTTTTTTTTTTTTTTTTCATTTTTTACACCAAATCTTCTCTCTCTTCTATATTATATTATTATCTTCTATTTACTTTTCATTTTTTATTTCCTTCACACTAATACTATCTTTTTTCTTTTTTCCATATTAATTATATATAATTCACATTCACCACTTATATAATTATTTATTACAAAATTATTTTAAAGGATAAATCAACTAACAGTGAAATCATTGATAAAAGATAATTAAATAAATATTACACCATTTGCATTTTTTATTTTTAAATAATGGTTATATCTCTTTTTATACAATTATAATAATAATAAAATTAACTTATAATTTTATATAAATATAATATATACAATTATTAATATATCAAAAAATAGGATATAAAATTAAAACTATAAAGATCTTAATATAAAATTTAATTATATACACAATATATGATAAATTAAAAGTCCAAAAAATAAAAAGATTAAAAAAGTAATAATAAACCAAATTTGGAGTGATGAATAGTGTTGCACCAAATTTGGTGCAACACTATTCATGCTCTATAATGGTGCAAGATTTAGTGTTGCATGGGAGGGGGAAAAAACACTATTTCTTTCACCAAATGGATTTGGCGCAAGAAATGGTTCATCCTTCGAGATGGTCTTAGACAAGTTCATTTTCTACTAACTGCTTACTATGTTGGGACTTGTATTTATAGGGTAACATAATATTTTGATATTATCTATATTGTTCTAGCAAGTTTGTACTGATCGACATGGAACACACGTGTCAAGTAACTAGTTCTTTGAAAATGTGCTAAAAAGAAGACGCAGAAAGTGTATTTTCAGATCTGGGGCATTGATATAGCTGGAATATATAAGCTTTTAAAGGAAAACTCAAAGGTATTGCGTGAAGTTTAACAAAAAAAGCAAGAATTTTAAGATTTGTGGTCTAAAAAAATTATAAATATTTTATGGTTATAAATTATTTTATCTAAAGTTAAATTGTTCCTAAATATAAAAAGATATTATTCACTTTTAGACCAAATAGAAAGGAAAGTATGCCTTAGTGGGACTAAACAATGCAACAAGTTTCGAATGATGGTTAAGTTGGAGAAGTCGAACCTTTTATTGAGGAGAATGGCGGGACCAGCTCCCTGCTCTAAAACATGACGTGCTTCTTCGACGACAGCTTGCACTTCCTCCGCCCAAATATTTAGCCTTGCATCCAGCTCCATCATTGTCCGAATATCTTTTAGCAACGCATCCATTAGCTGCAACTCTCTTTCAACTGAATGCCGAAGGTCTGGAGTGTTGCCAATTGTAGAAAAAATACTTCTAAAGATGATAAAATATAGCCAAATGGGAATGCTGAATGGGAAAAACCACAACCACCATTCTCTAAAGAAGGTGCGCTCTGATTCAGAAAGCCTAAATCTAGAGCACCTAATAATTAATCTTCTCCCTGTTAAACAAAACAGCGACCACCGCTGGCGCTGCCTTGGATTTGATTCTCTCAAGGTGCGCTCTTCATCATCTCCTGAAAGTATGTCCAGGGGTGGTGGTTGCGGGATAACAGTACTAGCTGCTTGTTGCGTGATGCTGCTGATATCGTATGCTATTTTCCTGTTCGACATGTAATAAATCTGTTTTTGTATTTTCTTAACTCTATTTTCAAACCTAATCAAACTCAGTGGATTGAATAAATAACCCCTTTCTTCTATGATTCCTTGTGCAAAAACAGCCTTGGCCTCAAGATCAGGATAGATTTCTTCCATCTGCCGGAACCAAACCTTATTTCTCTCGTCTGAATCTTCTCTAATTTGGGCATGTTCAATGAAATACTTCATTAGCTCCATCTCCACTTTAAGCCACTCTGTTATATCTTTGGTTGAGGAAACTGCAGACACTGAGGTATACATATCCGGACTTATTGGTTTGGGGACAACCACCCTCCTCCATGTCTCTCTTCCTCTTAATTCACCAATTTCATATGTATGGTATCTTCTCCATATTTCAGAGATTTGCTTCCTGATCTTCAGAATTTTCTGATCAAGCCGAGGTACGTTGTAAAGCGAATATAATGGTGCAATAAGAGATCTAAAACCATTGCCCTGTTTCACGCCGTCATGTACCCGGGATGCAAAGGTATCATAAACCAACTGAAAAACACCTTCTATCTGGTGCACCCAAACTTGGTATAACTGTTGATCTTCTAACCCTTCCACTTCATCTAGAATATCCTGCAAAGGAGTTAGTTCATCTCTCACGGACTTAACCACCTTAAGATCTCTTGCATCAAGAAGCCATTTTTGACTCAATACAGTATTGAGCTGCTCCATAGCGGAAGAGACAGTGTTGTTGGGTCTGCGCGTTGCCGTTTCGACCGTGATTTGTCCATCCTGATCCTTATCAGCACTATTTCCGATAATAATCTTCTTCCCCTTCTCAGAAACACTATGGATCTGAGTCATGAGCTCTTTTAGCTCTATGGCCAGTCTGTACTTTCTTCTCAAGTCTATTGTGCCTTGTTTTTGAAATCTCTTTGTGTAAGTTGCGATTAGATCCTCAGCTCTCCGAGCCACTTCTTCAGTCTCCTTTTCCCACTCTATAGCACAAGGGTCCTGTTCGTCCCTGGCCCGAACAGATTCCAGAACAGTTTCCATTAGTCTGAGTTCCCTTTCTATCCATTCCACCTCCTCCTCTATTCCTGTAATTAGTTCTGATTCTTTAACAGCCATTTCTGTCAATTTTATCACAAGAGAAGACATGTTTCGTTGATTAAAGCTAAACCACACAGAGTAATTGAGCTACTTGCGTCGTCTCTCCCGGTGCTACATATGAGCTGCAAAAAATAAATTTTGGGAAATGGAAGGTGATTGCGTCCTCCTTAAAACATTTTTAGACATGAGAGAAATGTTAGGACCCTAAAAATTAGGTGTCATACCGAAGCTAGCAAAGCAAACATTGGGTGATGATAAATCATACAACAAAGAGAAGTATCAAAAGAGATCCAAACATTTAACGTGTTTCGGTCAACTGACTTACCTCCACAGCGGAGATGAGCATTCCACTATATAAAAAGAGAGTACAAAATATCGAGAGAACAAACTCACGAAGAGAGAAACACAAGTGACACACTAACACTTTTCCCGTAAAGTTCTCCCCCTAAATACGACTCTCAAACCCTACATTGTGGATGTTGTTGAATGAAAAGGAAGAATCTTCAATTTATAAAAATACAAACTTTTTCCTACAAGAAAAAGGACTAGCCAAGTATAGAAGAATTACAATTTTCTTCATACAAAAAGTAAAACCCAATATAGGTAATTATATTGCTCTTTTCTTCAACAAATAAGAAAATCAAATATGGTAAGAAAGTTATGGCAAATATCTAAAAAAAAAAAATATATATATATATATATATCTCTTCTCCCACTTTAGTTAACGAGTACGACGGAGAATCTAATTCTTAAATAGAACGGTAGACGAATTCGAAGAGAAGGAGAAGAGAACCAGCCTCCACAACTGCTAGTTATCACACTTTGTCAACGCGGGACAATTGATACAGATTCCAGGAAAATACCAGGATGTTGGTTTTCATTTACACAAAAGCCTACCCATCACAAACCAATTAGTCAACTGTAAACTTACTTATGCTCAGATACACCAACCACAATTAAGCTACATAATTAGACGTTATATATTTTATTCACATCTTGAATCAAGTCGCTATCCTTATTATAACCAATCAACATGAAGTGTAAATTCCCATAAATCAACTCATTGAAACAAGAAAATTTTGATTCTAAATGTGCGGTCCATTACAACATTTGGAAAAAAAAAAACACCGTCAATTCAATTCAATCTGAAAAAAGTAACCTTGCTCTATGATATAAAAGCAATTATTTGAACTAACAAAATCTGTAATGATCTGATCGGTCGTTTTGTGCATTTGCGTTCCATTCAGCGATTTGAAGCCTTAAGTAGCTTCTTATGATGTATTATGACTTGTGTGAATCGTCGGTTTTGGTTTTCAGGTGATTCGGGGTTGATTTGGAAGAATGATTCTCAAGTATGAAGCTTTAAGTTGGAAGAGCTGACCAAGTTTGACTTTTGTGTATTTGATCCAGATCGGAGTTCTGATGGTTTCATTAGGTCTGGATGGTAATTTTGGACTTGGGCATATGCACGGATTTGCATTTGGATATTTCTTGAAGGTTTTGGCATTAATTGGCGAAAGTTAGCAATTTGAAAATTTGGAAAGTTCGAAGGTTTGACCGGGATTTGACTTTGATGATATTGGATTCGAATTGTGGTTCTGGGAATTAGAATAGCTTCATTATGTAATTTGGGACTTGTTTGTAAAATTTGAGATCATCTCGGATTGATTTGATATGGTTTGGCACGAGTTTTGGTTGTTGAAAGTTCAAAAATTCATTAAGTTCGATTTGAGGTACGATTTGTGGTTTGAATTTTGTTATGCGTGATTTGAGGGCTCGAGTAGGTTTGAGTTACATTTTGGGACTTCTTGGCATATTTGGACGAGGTCCCGAGGGGGCTCGGGTTTCTTTCGGACAAGTGAAAGATTAATTTGGTCATGTTGGCAGTTCTGGTGCAGGTTCTTCGCACATGCGCATATTTGGCCGCAGGTGCGAACGCGCTTATGCGATGGTGTTGATATTCAATTTTGTCCCTCCTTTCTTCCAATTAATTTTCTTGAGCTTCTAAATTATTAATATCAAATACTTTATTTTCTACTACTATTTCCATTCATTATTATTGTTATTGTTATTTTATTACTACTACTATAGGTATTATTATTATTAAGATTACTATTACGATTACTATTCTTGTCATTATTATTAGTATTATACTTTTATTACTACTATTGTTATTATTATTATTATTATTATTATTATTATTATTATTATTATTATTATTATTATTATTATTATTATTATCTACTTAATATATTTTATAATACATTTGAAAGAGTTAATTAAGGTAAAAATAGCACGGTATAGCTAGTTTTCAGACTAATCATTCAAAAATAGCCAACATTTACGAATTCAATGAAAAATAGCCATTATTTTGCCGCAACAGATACCAGTCCAGCATAATATACTAGAGTTCGGTGCACCTGTGTATGAACTCCAACATATTATGCTGGGCCGGTATACTTTGCTGACTCCAGTATAATATACTGGAGACTGGAGCACCGGTGCTCCAAACTCCAGTATATTATACTGGACAATTATACTTGCTGGAACTCCAGTATATTATGCTGGAGTTCTAGTGTACTTATGCTGGAACTCCATCATATTATGCTGGAGTTCCAGCATACTTATCCTGGAACTCCAGTATAATATGCTGGAATTCAAGCATACTTATGCTGGAACTCCAGTATAATATACTGGCGTATTTTCCGGGTTTTGAACAGTGTTTTCGCTTAAATTTATCTTTACATGAAAAGTGGCTAAATTTTGATTACTTTTAAAACTGGGCTATTTTTGAACGACCAGTTATAAATCTGGCTATTTTTGAATTTCTCCCCTAACTAAGTCTAATTTAGGAGCCCAAAGAAATACCAAGAAAAAAGGACCATTTCAAGTCCCAATTAAGAGAACCATTTAAGGTCAGCCCAAAGACCTTTATTCCCCCAAGACCAAACCCACTCGGCCAAAATTTTAAATTAGCCCAAGTTCTCTTAGTAGCCCACATACACATATTCAGAATCGATCTAATCCAAACTAATTAACCCATTACAATAGGCTAGGGTTCCAAAATCTCTTTACAGCCGGGCGTCTTCCACTACTAGAATTTCGGAAAAAAGCGATCAAAGTTGGTCTGTCAAGAAAAGCAACCAAAGTTGATCGCTAAATTAGCGAAAATAATAAAATAATTATTTGATATACATTAGCGACCAAGGTTGGTCGCTACTTTCATCAAAATATTGACTGGACTGGTCAGACTTACTTGGTCAAAGGTATACTGAGATTAGCGACCAACGTTGGTCGCTACAGGGGGACTCACTTATAAAATTATAATAATTATAATATTATTTAAAAATATTATAAAATATAAATAAATATAATTTAAAATTAAGCAGATAACGACCAACTTTGGTCGCTAAAATGGGACCCAGTTATAAAATTTTAATAATTATATTTTTATTTAAAAAAAATATAAAATATAAAAAAATATAATTCAAATTTAGCGACCAAAGTTGGCCGCTTACAAAAATAGAGACCAACTTTGGTCGCTAATTTAGGACCCAGTTCTAACGTTTAACAATTATATTATTATTTTAAATATTAAATAAAATATAAATAAATATGATTTAAATTTAGCGGCCAACTTTGGTCGCTAATTTAAATTTATGTATATTTAGCGACCAAAGTTGGTCTCTTTTCAGG